AATAAACCAGTCATCATCATCATCACTCAGCTTTACATTACACATGTACATGTATTATGGCAGGACACAGTTTTCGCCCTATGGGGATTTCTATAGTTCAAACCCTGGCCTGAAAAGGCTATGTGACTACTTTACCTTTACCTTTCACTTGTCAAAATATATATATAAATAATACATACTTCAAGATCTGACTACCAACTTCATAATTGATTTTCTTTGATTTGATTTATTGAAATTGCAACAGTACATGAGGAACAGAGGCAGCTGTTGCTGGTGTTGTGTCCTGCACGTAGAAATGAATACTGGACAGACAATACTCATTTTCACTTGAGTCTAGTGGGGAAAGTTGTGTAAATCGCCTTTCCCAAGGGCACAAGATCGGTGGTATGTCAGGACTTGAACAGGGGACGTCTTGATTCTGAGTCGCGCACGCTGCCGTTGCCCCACACGACCACACACATAATGTTGGCTTGCTGTGTTTTCCCAGTCTATCATGCAATCTTCCTGGAGAATCTGTGTGTAGAAGAGCTGAAGCTGAAGATTGCCCAGCTGTTCAACGCCTCTCCATCACAGCTAGCTGATCTCTACCGACAAGGTCCCACCGGCATCCACGTCATCATCACTGATCAGGTAATAGCTAGGGTTTTCTTCTAATTTAAGGCCACTCCAATTTAATTTGTTGTTTCTCGGATTTGCCCTGTCCATTTTTTTCTAATATGCAAAAAAAAAAGATTTTAGGTTCTGAATCAACTGCAAAATGCTCAATAAATTACATATTTCGGCCCCAAGGGTTGAACAAAGTCCTTTTCTTCCTAGTTTTTCAATGTAACAATGCATTTGTTGCATTAAAAGTTCAAAATCTATTGTTCTAAATATAAACCAGCCTGATATGTTCACTTCATGGCTCATATCGGAACATTTCCGGCTATCATGGGGTGCCTTGGCCTGTTTTTTTTTTATTATTTCGCCCTGACACTTCTTATTATTTCTGAAAAAATCTGAGAAACAACAAATCAAAAGCATGAGTTCTCTGCATCAGATATCATTGAAGACTACAGGTAGTTGTTCAGGTACAGATCTGGACCTACAGTACCAAACATACACTGACATATTTGTTAACTTGTACATTGTATTACTTTTGCAGATGGTGCAAAATCTCTCCGATGAGTCTTGTTTCGCTCTGTCCATGGTAAAAGGTAAGGCATTCTATGAGTGAAATTCCTCGTTTAATCTTTTTATATTACTCAATCACTTTTTATATTATGATTATAAATTCTAATCAAGTTCTGTTCAGTTAACTTTATCAGCCAGCTTAAAACGTTGTTGTTTATTTGTTTATTTTCTCTCTTTACAGCTGAGAACGACGAAAACAGATACCATGTCATCTTTAAGTAGACTGTTAGTTTGAGCTGTATGTCTTCTGTGGAGTTTTGCGCATGGAGGAAAAGGGAAACTGCTGAAGATACCTTAAAGAGATATAAGACTGCTTCCAAGAAATAGGAATATAGAAACACAGAAAACTTTTTAAAGGATACTGTAGATAAGAGAGAGCACTATTCTTCTTAGTAATTAAAAAAACTACTGGTATGCCCATCTTTAAAAAAGTATTAAGTCAGGAAAAAGTGCTTCTTTGTGTTTTTTCTCAGGGATGACTCAGCAGTAAACATTGTCAATCTGACACTGCCTTGGCTGAATACTGGCTTGCTGTTTTGATGCTGTATTCCATGAATACAGGGGTACCCTCTAAAACAATCATTTATTCAAAGATAGACTGAAATGAGGTAAATGCCCCCTATTTCTAGAGTATATTCCACTTCACCTCACTTGAATGGAGATACATTGTACAACATATCAATCATCATTGCCCCAAGGAAGGTATCAAGCAGATTGGTATGCTTTGATGAAAGGCAATTATACCAGCTATATAGATCAAGACTATCAAAACATTGGCAAGGAAAAATCTCATCGTAGTGTAAGACAAAATCTGTAATGCTAGCGTGTTAATTTCACTTCTTTGGTTCTGTACATCACAGAACACATACCAGAATGGGTCCGTTGCTTAGAAAGGTGGAATCTCAACTTGTACTGTGATGGTCAGTATTTCTAAGTCTAGTATAAAAAGCCATTGTTTTTCCTGCAGTACTGTTGTCTCCTGCTAGAGGTCTCTCTTTACTAGGAGGAATGAACATAATTTATGTGAGATTGCTTCATCAAAGGCTTTAAATTCTCAGATGGATCATGTTGAAGTACTATTCAAGGTGAATAGTTGAGTTGTTTTGTTATGGAGGAAATTTGATAAAGAACTTGTGTTAAAAAAGGCTGAAGTCAGAAGGATACGAACTGTACAAACTTTTGAAAAGAAGTTTCATGAGATTTTTTTACAAAAAGGATGACAGAGGCAAAAGAAAAGTAGAGAAAGTTTTTATTGTGAGATAATTGTCCTAGAGGAAAATGTTGTCTATGCGAAAATGAGCTTGTTTACCAGCAACTGTTGTAAAATTGCAGAGTCAAGAAACTTTCTGTATGTATATTTCTAGCTACCCCCGGTAACTGACACCAAGCGCTTGTCACTATTTATGAACGATGCTGGTAATTTAAGGCTATGTCTAACAGCAAAAACATTTTCTTGTTATAAAGTGAAATCGTATCAAAATAACAGTTTAACAATTACAAAAGTAACAGTGAAAATTGATACAGATCTACTCTTAAAAAAAGATTTTAGGGATGAATTTGCTGATAATTTGCCGTCAGTAGCTTTCATTATTTTTAAGTATCATGGAAACCATGCTATTAATTATGCCTTTGGTGCAAACCAAACCTAGCATAGATAAAGTCTTGAATATGTTTTGCTGGCAGAATGCCTGTTGACTTAATATTCTAAGGTACCCAGTTACTGTGATTTTGGTCTTTCCCAAAGTCCATTGTGTTTATGTTAAATTATTGGTTTTGTATGTAATGATAACTTGTAAGTGTATATAAGGTGGTATCGCAATGAGTACTTCTGTTAAGCGTACATGTATAGCCATCTATACATTGTACATGATAAGGATTGTGTTGTAAGCTATGTATGTAAATGAGCACTTTGGTTTTGGTGATTTTACATTGTTTGAAATGAGCTTTGGGTTAGACTGAAAATGTATTTGATGAAAAAAATAACATTGTCTTAATGTCATCACCATATTGTGGTCTTTTATTCTTTACAAAGTTCTGAAATACAAGTTGTTTCTTTCAGTTTTACATTCTTTCAATCTACATTGGATTCAAAACACAGTCATTATTTATACTAGTATCAATTCTCAGGACTAAACATATTATCTTTAGTACTAGAAAATTGTTGTCTATATATGTGTGAGAACTACAGCATCCTATGAGTATTAGAACCTGCATAGCCTTATGATTTAAAGGCATCCAATGCAATTTCATGAGAGCAAAACAAATTTTATTCTGGATGAGGAAATCTGTCTAATATTGACATTTGCTGCCATTTCTTTGCACATTTTTGTCATACTTGAAGTGTCTGAAACGACTTTGAAACAAGCTACACCAAGAGTCTTTTTTTTGGTACCATGAATAAATTTATAGAACCAGCCTACGATAGAAAACAAGCAATTGTTTTTCGTCAGCAACGTCAGATTTTTACCTCACAGATATCAGTATGCTTTAGGCCACACCAATTTAATTTGTTGGTTCTCGGATTTTTTCAGAAAAAATATGAAGCGACAGGGCGAAAAAAAATAAAAATGAAAACAGGTCTAGGCATCCTATTATAGGCTTAAATGCTACAAAATGAGCCATGAAGTCAACACAAAAGGCTGGGTTAAAATTTAAACATTGAATTTTAATCAAACCACTGCAATGATAGATGGGAAAACTGTAACAACTAGGAAGAAAAGGACTTTTCTCAACTGTTGGGGGGCAAAACATGAGCATTTTTCAGTTGATTCAGGACCAGAATCAAAATTTTTTGCAAATCAGAAAAAAACGAAGAGGCGAATCCGAGAACCAACAAATTAAATTGGTGTGGCCGTAACTTTCTTACTCTGAACTGCGTAAGACAGGCCAGCTGTCATGTCGGTGTGAAGTTTGGAGCTCTGGTCGTAGCAAGACTGCTGGACTTGACCAGCGATGAGATAACCTATGGTGGTGTTCCAGTCAATGGGCTTGGTCGAGGCCAGCTGGATGTAGTATCCCCACGTCTCGTAGAAGCTCGGTGAGAACTGCCCTTCTACCGTAGTGGAGCAGCATGCCAGCGACAGGATCGCGACAACAAGTCCTACTTTGGTGGCCATTTTGTGCACCTGGCGACTTCTGCGTGAGGTGTGCTACCAGCCCTGCAGTATCCACTATATATACCCGTCCTAACGACCTATAGGACTACCTGGTGACTCATTCACTTGTGGTCAGCGGGATTGACGTAGAACCACACCTAGCCTAAATCTCGTGATTACGGAGCGCTGTAGCATGTTGACCTCGACCCTTACTTGACCCCAGGCTACGTTGCCCTGGAACCAATGACGAGTCGGATCGCCTCACCTTTGTACGAAGGCCCACAACGACACTTCCACAGCGCGCTTCCAAGGTACCTTCCATAGCGCGATTCTGCGAACCTTCCACAGCGCGTTTCTGCGAATCTTCCACAGCGCGATTCTGCGAACCTTCCACAGCGCGATTCTGCGAATCTTCCACAGCGCGATTCTGCGAATCTTCCACAGC